CCTGGGGTCACAGTCTATTTTGCTTCCACGCCGACCACAGCAGATTGCACCATCTGCATGTGTGATGTAGCACTTGCTTCACCTATCCCTTCCTACACTTTTTTTTTGTTAATCGATAACAGCACCACGCAGCAAAACACGCAGCAAAACAAAGCCCACTACCACGAGGAAAATGATCAGCACATGCATTAATTTCGTCAAGATGCTTTTCATTTTGCTTTTGCGTTCGCGTGCCTGGGACCGCGCTTATCGCATGTTGAGACTGCTTCCCGAGACTGGTCTGCCACGCATTCTCCTTTGAACCCGAACTAGCAACCGCCATCTCATTCGGCTAGAATAGCCGCTCCCCTGAGGTTCCTCGCACGTTGATGGGCGGACGATCATGTCGTTTTTTGGGGGTGCTAGCATTCAATCCAGTCCACTAGCGTGGAACGCGTTAAAAAAAGGAGCAATGCTATAATAAGCAGCTTCCCATCAACCTTTCCCTTCAAGGGAACCACATGCACTAAGGGGGCAGAGGGTAGCTGTTGCACTAACGCCAGGCTTGCTTCATGTGCACTCTCGCTGGCTGATTTTTTTGGCCGGTCAAAAATTTTCTGCATCCCCCAAAAACATGCCTTTTTGCTAATGTCGCCATACCCGTGTGGGATAAAAGGCAGCAGAGAGCACACTGGAAACGCATGTTCCACGCATTTCTGCAAACTCCTCCTTCCCCTTCTTCACTTTTTCTTTTGCTTTCTGCCTCTTTTCTAGGCTTTTGCACGAGCTACTTGTTTCGTCATTGGCAATACCCTTCACCATCTCCTTTCCTTGTCCATTATTCCATACCGCAGTCCTCACAAAAAAGAATCATCGTTTTACTTCAGAAATGTGCAGTATTTTAGCCACCAAGCGCAAGGCGGCATTGATTGTCGCTGGTCTCGTAATTCTCGCGCCTGTATCTTGTCCATAACACCGTACAAGATGCAGTGAAGTTCCGTGCTGAGGCTGAGCAGCGTCTCCACACCGCCCACACCAAGCCTGCACCAGGGAGCTCGGCGGCGAGATGCCCAAGGACCAGCCGGCGCCAGCAACAGGCCGCAAACTCGGCTTCGAGCACATCTACGTGATCAACGCCGAACACCGCACAGATCGCAAAAAGACAATGGCCCGGCTAATGCGCTACATGGACATTGATTTTGAGTTCTTCCGCGCAACAAACAAGACCGAAATCGACCACCCGGAGCGGCGGGTTTTTGGCCCTGGTGACGAGAAGTGGCCGCAGGTGCCGCCACAGCACCACATCCGGTCATTGGAGCTGGCGTGCATGCGCAGTCATATGAATGCCCTGAACGATGCCGTCATCCACAACTACAAGACTGCGCTATTGCTTGAAGACGACATTGACATGGAATCCGATATTAAGCAGCGCCTGGGCGAGCTGCTGCCGGCCATGCCTGGCAAGTGGGATGTGCTGTACATTGGCCATTGCACAAGGGAGGCGTTTGACAAGACCGAGTATCATCCGCATTTGTTCCGTGCCCGCCGGCCGTCGTGTACTCACGCGTATGCAGTCACGCTTGAGGGTGCAAAGCGTCTGCTGACGCTGCTCCAAGAGCAGTGGCCGAACCCCAAAGGCCCGTACGATGTTACGCTGATTGATCTTATCAGGGGGAAGAAAATCGAGGCTCTCAGTGTCGAACCACCCTATATCATCCAGGTCCGCGATAATGTCGCCCCGGGTGATGTCGCACCTGACACGAAGATCCCGAAGCAGTGGCTCGACCACTCAGCACTATACGAGCTTGGACTGCGCCCGTACGTTTACGGCTCGATTAAAAATAGCACCCTCTGCCCCGCACTCGTATTCCCATCCCAGAGCGGAAACCCCAATGACTGAGTCACGCCATTACAAATCACAAATCTCCAGCAGCTTGTAGAAGCCGGGTTTGTTGCTAAAGGAAAGGAGCTTTAGCTGCCATATTTGTCTTAAAGAGTATTTATTGTTAATATTATCTTCCACCGATCCTGTTTATGTGCTAGAAAGAACATTCGCACAAAGACATTTTGGCAGATCGGAGGAGGTGAGTGCCCTAGCTGCAAGGTGTGGATCAATGTTTCAAGGTGTAAAGAATCACCCATGCATGCGTCCTTGTGTTTTGGAAGGCTTATTTCACCTCAGCTTCATATAAAATGTTTTTGACGATGATTACCAATCGCTGATTTTCGCTGATTTAAATAACCCAAGGATAGAAGCACATTAACTGCCAGGTGAATTCGAGTGACAGTTGTTTAAGGCATCAATGATGATATCTTGGCAGAGGAGTACAGGAATGCGTAAAAGAAGTATTGGCTGTTGCCTGAGGCAAAAACACATTACGCAAGTTTAAAAAATCACTTGCTTATTCACCTAAAATGGCTAGCGATATTGTACAGTTTAAGCAGCTGACAAAGTGCAGCAACACATAGCCAGTATATACACTGCACCAGGTGTCTGTTGAAATTGACATCGTTTCGCTTCACAGTTCATCTAACACACGCGACGCTGGATCATGTACGATACTATCAGTGTTGTCAAATCTGTAACTTTCCAACAATCAGAGAACCACGCTTGTTTCCAAAGATCACCACCTTTCTGAACTCTGTTTTACGCCAAACAAAGAGCAGATTAGCTATCGCTAAGCACGAAAGTGAATGCTCCTTATCTTCACCACCTTTCAGTTATTTGCCATGGGTTTCAGTGGATGACTAGTGGAATTATCGGTTCATAATAAAAGGCGCTGGTATCCCAGAGGTTTTGCCTACATACACAGCTGGCGACATAGCACCTGAAGAACACAAATGATGGACTGTCGATTCGTTATTGAGTCTTTAGAAAGAAATATACTGATGATGAAAAGTAAGGAATACTCCAAAAGCCTAGTTGCTGTCGGTACTCAAACGAGTAGCAAGCTCAACGAAATGCTTGACTCTCATGAGGTCTGAGCGCGATATGACAATATCATTACAGGAAAATGAGCGAAAAGTGCGGACTGTTGGGCACCGTAACGCTAGACTGATTGTCCAGCCGTGCAGACTGTACATGTCCTTCACACTCGCTGGGAAAGATGGTAATACTTTGCAGAGTCTTAGAGATGGGAGAACCAGGTAGAGCTGCACTGCTAGCACTGGTCATAGCCCGGCAAATGTGGCCAATGAGATTGACGGCGTCGTTTTTTGTCAAGCCCACCTGCACCAGAGATTTGACCATGTCTGGTAGATCTGCTGTGTCCCCCAAAGCAGCATTTCTGCGACAAGTCACTGAAAGCTCGCGAAGGAATGGCAGTGAGCCAATCAAGTGAAGAACTTGCTCAGAAGTACATTTCACTCCAGGGATCTTCAGAGAACGGAGGGTTGGGGCGAAGCTATCGATATGTGGCTGAAGAACGGCGTAGTCAAAATAAACACTGTTGCTGACCTCGATCACTGGTGTCCGGTGGAAAGCACGGAGTACGCGAGAAGCACGATCCTCAGTAACTGTGCCAGATGTAATAGATGAATCCGCGAGTCTCACAACTTCTAGTGCCTTAAATCGCCCTTTGTCCATTAGATTTACATGGCTGAAAAGGTCGACCGTATTGTTCCATACATGCAAATCCAAGAATATAAGCGAATCCTCTGATCCACGCAGTGGGGTATCGTCTGAGAATGGATAACGCCCATGGATAGCCAACGATCTCAATGCTGGGAATGGCACCCCGTCAATTGACGGGCGTGCTGTCATACGAAAGAACCCTTCAGCAGTCTTTAGGCGAAGATCATGGAGTTTGGGATACACAACCACTGAGCCATCGCTGTTAGTCACAACGCGTCTGATCAGGACGGATGCACTCAGATCAAGGTGCAGTCTTTGCAGAGACTGCGAGTTTCGACGAATAAGTAAGAAGACTTTATTCATCCAACCAGACATACTGGTGGTCAAGCTCTGCAGCGGGGGTGAGTTTTGAGGGAGCGGTAGAGCCTCATCCAAAAGGTATCCCGTGGTTGCGATTGCAGACCTTCCGGTCAATAGACGCTGTATGAGATTGACTAAATATGGAGGAAGAGGTTCACGTGACGTATGGACATCGGGCTTCACTTCAATGTGTGTAATGGATGGAAATATGCGGAATAGCTCATCAATGAATTTATCAGAACGTAGTTTGGCCAATGGGGCCTTCACTCTATAAGAACTTCCACCAAGGTTTAAACTGAGATTTGAAACGTTCGAGAATGTGAGGTCGCATGGTATGAGCTGCTTTAACTGGGCTACTGCTGAGCCATTAAATATACGCGCAGTTTTAAATCCTAAGGTGACCTCTTTAATTCTATCATAGACACCAAGGGTATGAGCCCAGTTAAGCGACGGCTGGGTATTGGTGCCTACATAAACACAACGGAATATATGGCCGAGGGAAGTCTGTCTCCATGACTGGCAAACATGAGACACTGGCATTAGGGTCGCATATGCCGGTTTCAGACCATGCTGGCCAACACGTATGGATTTTCCGGGCTTAAGGTAATAAATAATACGGTCCAAAATAATAATAGGAGGGCGTTGTGCAATAGACTCCATTGCAGGAAAATGAAGAAATGAAGGTTGAAAAGAAAAAGTGGGAGCTTGAATAAACCAATATGCTTGAGGTGAGACACAGGAGATGTTGGAAGAAAGGCGACTAGAGCAGAAGAAAAGTGGTGTCGGGAGGAGGAGTCCAGATAGTTTGCCAGACTCAACGGGCTTATAAACACACTCGTTGGTGGCATTAGGAACAGGTGCATTCCTAAGTTGTCATCTTCGGCAGCAGCTCTAGCATGCTGCTTTTGCCAGTTCCTGGCCTGGCTGCGTATGGTTTAGTATCTGGCCATCTTCGAGAGCGTGAGTGTGAGGGTGAGTGAGAAAGCCTCTTGTTTCAAATCCACATGGTGAGCTGCGTACCCCCTGTTGGGGCACAGTCATGGCAAACAATGGCCATCATACTTTTTATCAGAGCCAAATATATTGCTAAAACCACCTACATTCCAAGTTTGTAAACATTTTGCTGCAGCATATATTGCCGCGCGATGTGCTGCCATTGTTCAAGGCAGCTCCTAAATATATTTTTAGGTTTTCCTCATCGGCGCAGATTCTTGTCATGAGCCGCCTACAGTGGAACTTTGGCCCCGCGAGAGTGAGGAGAAACAGGGGGAAGAAAACCCACTCCTGACTCATAAAAGCAGGCCAGATTTCGCCCTCTCCAAAACTCTTTCTCCTCGTCCTGCAAATAAAATCTCACTACATGTAATTCTCCCTCTATTCGCATATTTGCATACCCTCTCTTTCGTGGTATTCACCTGTTGCATCAGTCGTGCAAACCCACCAACTATTCTTCTCACAATACTGCTGCTCCACCACTCGCTGTCCCGTACCACTCTCTGAACAGGCAAGTACTCGATCACAACTGCTTGCTTCGTATTCTGCGCTAACCATTTTTATCGTCGTTTTCTGCTAACACACGCTTGTCAATATAATGGAGCTTTGTTTATTGCTTTTGCTCCACTTGTAATTCGCAACACCGCTACACATTTGCACATCATGTTTTGGACCTGCCCTTGCAGGTTTCTGGTCGCTGTTCGATCTCTCCTCTCTCTTGCCTTTGTCTTCACTCTGACTCGCAAGTCTGTTCTAGTCGATATGTGGTGTTTGAACCGATCCGGCTTTCCATGCTCATACACTCACCCACGAAGGTATTGCTTCGTGCTATCCGGTACTGGGTATGGGGGACTGCCGCCAGGAGGCGGTCCGGGAAGGTGGTGATGGTTGGGATTTCATCAGGCCCGGTTCAGGAATGTGCTGTGCGATACACGGAATAATAGCCGTAGTGCAGGAGTTGCATGAGTTTGGTAGGTCTGGTAAGTCATTCATTTTCGCCCAGCTGAACTTTCTAGTGGGCCAGTACTGCATTTGGAATATTGAAGGCGAACCAGGGACTGAGAGGCAGTGGCGACTAGAGATCTGCAAGCGCTGGTGCAAAATATGCTGTACAATTTTTGGCGAAAATGGTGTTACTCCTTCGACCCAAGACATACGTAGACACTCCAAGAGCCTATTCAAGACAGCAGACGGTTTCTGGCAGCACTATCCTGCGTATGGACTAGAGGAATAGCGAGGTTCAGTACGTTAGTCTCTGAAGGTGTAGTTTTCGAATAATCTGTAATCGGATATATTGCACAATTTTCAATGGACATGGCGAGACACAGATAATAAGTATGCCATATACACTTCAAACACGTGGTGAACTGCATGGAAGTGTTTCATAAAACTACATGGTAGCCTAAGATGTCCAGCACTTGACAGTGGAGGATGCCCTTTATACACCAGATTTGGGTCTGAACTAGTTCTCTATTGGACAAAGTGATTCCTTTTCCGCATGACGCTTACAGAACTCACTGTGCGTAGACATTATCTAGCTGCAAAATCACATGAGAGGGTAGTAAGTGAAATGACTCATGGTGCCGAGAAATTACATGGCCGCTTTTTGATAGCCATTCACCGCAATGCGAGACACTGCCACAATCAACGCTGCCGGCATTTGAATATAGCATAGAGAGACACAGTGGATCTGGGCTGTCGTATTGACAACAGTTAATATCGCTGTACAAGTGTTTCGATACTGCCTTGAATCAGCAGTGCCAGATTTGGCGATTTCCAGGTCGGATAAGCACATTCGTTACATTGGCTCCTTCTCCAGTTGGTATAGGCAGACGATGACTCAGGAGGGCTGAGTATCAACATCTTGCGTGGCTGAAAGAGGCAAGTAATCTGATATAGCTGATAAAAAGATCCTCGTTCTGCAGCCCACTTGAAGTTGACCTTTCGAAGCCATATATCATTTGCTTAACAACTGATACGAGTAGCTACCATCAAGGTCCAAAGTGCTATGCTGCGCTGCGTGGTACTTGTAGACTGGTGATCAAGTCATTGAATGACTTGAACCTGATGAGACCTGGTTGCGTGATACCGTATCGTCCAAGCTGTTCGTAAAAGTACAAGTGCTGTATACTAGAGCAGAGAGCAGACAGTATCACAACCATCCGACAGGCCGACAGCTGGTCAAGTGGCCTGCGCGAGTCGACTCCCAACACTTGAAGTGTTTCAGAGAGAGGATAATATTTCTTGTATAGGTCGTCCAGAATGTCGAGATCAGCGCATATTGGGTCAACATGACTGAGCAGAACCATCGTATATGTATCGACATAGTCGGCTGTCTGTTCACCAGTCTCGTCATCATCGCCTTGGTCGTCATCCGATTCGCTGGTGTAGTCGCAACCACCCATGCACCGGTCATGCGTACGATCCCTGCCCCGCAGAGAATCGGTTGGCTGGCATGTAAATCTCAAGCGTTGGATAAATGGGAGCTTCTGTATAAGCATGATTGCATCTTCTAATGCACAGAGCATGCTAGGAAGTTCAAGCACACGCAGAGTGCTGGCCATGTTGCTAACAGGTGTCATTAAATGAGAAAAATTGGTATACCCACTGCCGCTGTATGTCAGAATTGTGGCATTCTTGCCGATACGGAATGCCAGATCAGCCACTAAATTGCATGATATGTCATCAGCACTACTTGTGTTGGAGAGGTGAAGGCAGTCGATAGACGCAAAGTGCCAGCTATTATGAAGGAGGATATCTTCTAGAACCGCAAGCGTAGCCCGATCAACAGCGATATTCAGCATTCGAAGAGTTTTGCTGTTGCCGTTAAACATTATATCGCTTTCGAATGGAAAAGCAGATATGCAGGTCAACGTCTCCAGTAGCGGAAACTGAGGCATTCCAAAGTGCTCAGAGCGGCTGCTTAGCTTTTGCTTGGAGAGCGAAGCGAGTTTAAAGTGCCTGAGCCGATTATAAACGACTGGGTCCCCATTATGATCGAAGAGTATGCTGTGGAGCTCTCCAGATAACGAGTAGCCAATTTCCACATACTCCAAGGTGGATGAACTGCGAGATATGAGCTGAGCACAGTGGGATGGCGAACTATAGCTACCAAAAGCCAATTTACGAAAGGGTATTTCGGGTGATAAGCATTTGCTAATATCACAGGGGCAGTGCTCAGCGAGAATCCCTGTCGCTCCCTGCACTAGTCCGCGAATGAGGCTGGTCACAAACGGGCTCGAAGAATACTCAGAGAAATAGCCCAGCCCCATGAAACAAACACTCTGGATACTAGGAAATAGACGGTGTACAATACTGCAGAATGTATCTGCATGCTCTGTAACCTCATATAGCTCCGGGTTGCCCCGGAACCAGACGCCAGTGAATGTGATAGAGAGCTCGGTAACGTGCGAAAATGAGATGCTGGAGTAGAAGTGCAGGTGGGAGGCTGCTAGATGGCGACCCTCTAACACATCAGCACATCTCAGCTGGACCGTTACAGCTCTGACGTTATTCTCTGTTCCGAGCTGTGCTGCAGTGTGGAGCAGCCGTGGAGATTTGGATGCGAATTCATCGTATTGCAAGGTCCTGCTGCCCTTATCAAGGTCATTCCACAAGACATGGCTGTGCAATACAGTCAGAGCTGCCTCCTTCCACCACCGACACACACGTATTATTGACCACGACGACCGCCGATACATCTCCTTCTGGTATTTGAACACGTAGCAGCCAGTGTGGGGATACAGGCAGGCATATCGGACGATAGCTTCCAAGACAAGCGTCGGTAGATTCTGTGCAAGAGAGGCCATGAGAAAATAGAATGTGAGAGTAAAGAAGAAAAGCAATGAAGGTGCGTGGAATGTATGCATATGTTTTTGTGGGCTAGGATGCGTCTGCTAACATATGGAGTCAGCTGCGGTTTGCACGAGTGAATCATTACTGAAAAGGCATGCAGTTGCGGATTCCGCCGCTATGACCACCACACATCTGGGGCTCGCATAATTGATGACACCCTATTCCCAAAACGCGCTGATTTATTGGTAAACCTATTTCTGTTGCTTTGGCAGTGCTTTCACCTCGGCTACTTTGTGTACATTAGCCTATCCAATTATCCACATACACATTTACAATGAACCGACAATTGCTATATTACTTTGTATTTCTTTTCCTCTTCTGGGCTCTAATGTCATGGCGAGACAGCACACGGCCTGGGCACAGCAAAGACGAGCGAGACCTGTTTGAAAAAGAGTGGTGGGAGTCCTACCGGAATATGACGTACCAGGCGAATTCAACACATGCGCAGCTCCCGACCACGGTGCGTACAGCTGTGGACAAGCTTGTCCTGCCTTACTTGGAGCGGGACGAGGAGAAAACCGAACCGATTGAAGGCGTATTCTATCGCAACATCAGCGGTATTTACCACAGCGAGTGGCTGTCAGCATATGTTAACGAGACAACGCCCTTCTGGAACGGCACACTGCCTGAGGGGTACGATAGACCGGACAACAGCACCATAGGAAAGTTAACGCTGGTCCTGGACACAGACCGTTCGGTAAACAAGTCGATTGGTCTGCTCAGTGGTATCGTGCGGTTGCGCTCTGGGATATACTCCGCCAGTCTACGACTCCAGGGTTTGTACTGGAAGGATAATGGCACTGCTGTCATGTATGGCACGCCTAGCGAGAGCGCCCAGACGGTGGTAGACCTAGTCAAGTCTATGCCCAACAACCACACGTTTGCTGAGGCAAAGGCGGTATTTGATGAGGTGTACCAGCATGACCTGGCAGACTACGAACAGTTCAATGACGTCGACCACGGCTGCGAATACCAGGTCTTTCTGCAGTTCACGCCAATTAAGGGCTTGACCCACCAGGAGCTAGAGGAGATTGAGCAGGAGCTGGAACACCCGACAGGTCGAAGCATACCCAAGCCACCGGCTCTGCAAGCACAGGCCATTTTGTTTTCGACGAACTGCAGTGTGGCTGTGTCTTCAACAGGCGCCCATGTCGTTGGCACACGTGTCGAGCCGTATCTGACCAAGGCTACCCACTACGCACTGGCGTCGTTTGTCGTTCTGCTGGCCCAAATGGTGCTGACGATCCACCAGATGGGGCACACTCCTACGCCGTCGAGCATCTCGCGGGTATCGTACTACACAGTAGCCATGATGGCTGTATTGGACAGCTATTTGTGCATGCTCCACCTGACCGGCGGTGCATTCTACAATGAGATCTACAACGCCTTCTCTGGTGTGTCGTTCATGTCGTTTGCCTTGCTAACAATGTTCGACATGCGGTATCTGGCCATGATCTGGAATGTGCAGCGGCCAGAGGCGGGCAATGCCAATACGCAGGAGGGGCGTAGAGAGATGTGGCTCATTTACTTCCGCTTCTATGTGGTGCTGATTATTGGCCTCTTTGTTATCTATATGTACACCGAGAGCATCCGCCCGATTGCCAGCGCCCTGTTGGCAGTGCTGCTGCTGCTACTGTACTCGTACTGGATCCCGCAGATATGGCGCAACATCAAGCGTGGTACCAGCCGCGGCATCCGCAAGGACTACGCCATCGGCACCACAGTGCTGCGGCTCTTCTTCCCCGTGTACGCATTCGCATGCCCCGACAACATTGCCTTTATCGCGCCGACAAAGCTGGTGTGGGCTCTTGTCATCTACAGCATGTCGCAGCTCGGCTTTTTGCTGCTGCAGGATTCATTTGGCGCACGGTTCTTTGTGCCTGCGTACTTTTTGCCGCCGACATATAACTACCACCCAATCATTCCACCCGCGGACGAGGAGACCGAGGCCGATGATGGCGATAGCAGCGAAGCCCGGCCCGATGACTGGGAGCACAATGCATCGAGTGCATCTAACCGTGCGTGCGCAGTGTGTATGCAAGCCGTCGATGTCGATGTGCCAACCGGTCATGTGCTGGGCCGGGCAGCCTATATGGTAACACCGTGCCACCACATCTTCCACACTGATTGTCTATCACAATGGATGGCAATCAAGCTGGAGTGCCCAGTGTGTCGCGCGCCTCTGCCGCCGATTTAGTTTTTCTTCTGACGGCTTTCCCAGCAAGCAGTTCCTGATTTCTCCGAAATAGAGGAAAAGCGTGACTGTATCTGCCTGCTATTGTGTGGCCATCAGATGGAGGCGATCCCTTGTTGCTCAGATGCGGGGGTTGTAAGCGCAAGGGAGTTTTGCTTTGGGAGGTCGCCATTTTTTCGAATGTGACATGAGCACCTCTGAGCCAGGAGCGCGCCCACCCATTCCTGGAGGCCCAGGAAATCTGTTGTATCGCACTACATCGGCCAGTGGTCATCTGGGCTATGCACAGTATGCACCTCATTAGTCGCGTAAATTAAACAAAGGGAGTCATCAGTGCAGCTGCTACGCTGCTGGAAGGTAGACAGTGGAGGGTTCTACAGGTGCTTGGATGGACGCATCGATAGGATAAATTTTGTAACGGCAGCAGGCTTTACCAGGTTGAAACGTCTCTTCAGCCGATTAGCAGCTGGCGTCTCATATGAAAGTGGCCTCCCTGTAACTTGCTAGCCGACCCTTGAGCGATTTTACTCATCGCCATTTGCGAGCTGATGACGCTATCGATGGACCTCGGAAGCGCAGAGAGAATGGCCACAGTGCCTCTGCCTGCCAATGCCCAGCCGTGTTGGAATGTGCCCTGTGCTGGGTTCACCCACGCCGCCCTGTGCCGCCCAGTAGCACCGGCTGCTACTGCTCCCTACGACATAGCCGCTGTGCAATCGATGGCAGCGCTGATGGACGCCAGATAAGGCTTCACAGTGCTAGCTGGCGGTGTGGATGCTGCGTCCAGAGTCAACCTGTGCCAGGAGTATGGTTATCGCTGCTCCATCACGCATGCCAGAGCTAGAGAAAAAGCCCAGAGCGCAAAAAACTTGCCGTGCATTATCGCGCCAGGATCAGTCGTGATAGCGGCTTCTGCAGCGCCTGCCCCGAGCGGGAGGGTCCTTGACACATGTCCGGCCGCGGAAAATCGAGGAATGAATGGGCCGGGTCGCCTGCCACCCCCCTGCCCCGGCTGCAAGCACAGGTTCTCCATCAGCGGCGGCATCCGCCCAATTGCAGCGCGGCGATCTGTTCCTGATACGCTATCAGCGGCCATCAGCTGGCTCGTGCTTTCTCTTCTAGCAGCCGCCCGCACGCTGCAGGCCACAAAAATCCCGGGGCGCGTTCTTGCTGGGCTGCACGAATTGCAAGACTTTTGGCGCTTTCTCTCACACTGCATATGGCCGCACCGCGTGCTCTATAAAAAGGACTCGTGCTCGGGACTCCAGCGATATCTTTCCTCCGAAATATTATAGTCAGACTTTTTTTCCTTCTTGGTCCTTTGCCAGCAGCCTGAGCACATTAAAATCACAGCTCCAAACACAGAAAACATGGACGTCTGTTCCCTCATCGATACCCACACCCACACCGCCGCCGATGCTGCCGCCGACAGCTGCTGCGCCGACGCTGCGCCGGGCAAGTCGTTTGCCTGCTCGTGGCACGACTGCGACCGCTCATTTGCACGCAAGTCGGACCTGGTCCGCCACTTCCGCATCCACACCGGCGTCAAGCCATTCGAGTGCCCATGGGCTGGCTGCGAGAAGCGCTTCATCCAGCGCTCGGCCCTCAAGGTCCACTACCGCACGCACTCTGGCGAGCGTCCGCACACCTGCGAGGGCTGCGAGCGTAGCTTCAGCGACTCGTCCTCGCTGGCGCGCCATCGCCGCACCCACACCGGTGTTCGGCCGTACGGCTGCGAGCACCCCGGCTGCAGCAAGCGGTTCACCCGCAAGACCAGCCTGCGCAAGCACATGCAAACCCACGATCCGACCTACACCAAGCCGCGTCGCCGCTCCAGCGTGGAGACTGTTGCTGCCGGGTCTCCTATGCACTCGGACATGTCGTCGCCGCAGACTGCTCCGGTCAGCCGCCAGACCTCGCCTGCCTTTAGTGTGCAGTTCATGACCACCCGTCGCCCCGCCTTGCTCACCGCGAGTTGGCTCAGTACCACTACGAGCCTCAGATGTACACTTTCAAGCAGATGAGCCCGGTCTACGCTGCCGCCCCCAGATCGCCCTTGGACAGCGGTGCCAGCTCAGCCTCGACTGCCTGCAACAGCCCAGCCATGTACGGCCACCCGGGCACTGTGCTGCCGCCGATCAGCTCTCTGCTGCACTAAATCCCGCCATATGTACATATCTTTTCTATGCGACTTGTAAATACACCACACCAATTCCACTGCCTTTCACCAATATACGCGTATGCACGTACAGTTAGCCAGCTGATTGGGAATGGTGAGCGAACAGGCCAGTGCGCCATGGAGGCTGCGTGCTTTGTGGACATGCTAGCGTCATTCAGCAGGCCACGGAAAATGCCCCTCCCCACCTGCTCGCTGTCAGCAATGGGGAGATACTCTGCATTTCAAATGGTTCATTCCGACGATTCCCGCACATACCACCGCCCACTCAAGAATTCATCTTCCAGTGACCTATATCGATTGTTGGGGAGACTGGTCAGCCCTCTGGGGCTGCAACCCTTTCCTCCTGATGGTTTTCACGCCCTGGCCCCTGGGTACAGGCGTTATTGTTAATGAGCATGCGTGCGCTATCTGCGACATCCCATATCGGCACTGCCTGCCTCCCAATGGCCAAGGCTGTTCCTGAAAGCAGAACACAGATCCGCACGATGATAACCAATTGTGACTATTATCCGGAGGTTAACCGGCCAATTGTCTATGCGTGGTGGTCTCAGCTCCGCCCCTGCTCCAGACCCAAATGAGTCAGATCCTATGCGCACTCGGTGCCTGCCAGATCGTTGGGGTGTAGTGAGTGCTGAGGGTATTTCTGCATGATAGCAGCTATGCAGGCGGTGGGGAGGCAAATAGTATAAGGCGCAATTGATCGATACCATCGCGAAATTCCCAGGGGGCACGCTGCCGATGGGAAACGCACACAAACAATTTCCGTGACGGGTCGCTGCGCACATAAAGCATTTTGGCGTCCCGGAGGGCGATCGCGGGAACGGACCACCCTTCCCATCGATCAATAACGGATGCTGGCAATCTTCGCTGCTTCGCGATCGATGCGGCAGCTCGCTCACGACCGTGATTAGATCAGATCTGCTAATACTAGGGGACCTGTGTTCGCTTGAGCTGCAAACACGCTTAGTGAGCCGACAGGCGATTGGGCTGCTTCCTGATGGCACATGGAAGTCGGACGATTTCACATGTGTGGAAATAGGTGTTGACTAAAAAGTCAAGCAAGTTCTGGATGTGGCTCCCTAGAGTTCTGCCTGGCATCTGCTTGTTGGGGGAGCAGGTAGCCCAGAAGCCTGCCGATTGACCGACATGGCCTGTAGCATGTATGTTGTTGAAAAATCCAACATGCTGCCTGCTGTATACAAACATAGGACAGGTCACTAATCAACACCGCGATTATTTCGCGGAATCAGCAGATAGTCTCGCTGTGGTCATAAGCCATGGGAATCTTCCAAGCATCCATGGACTGTCTAGGAAAAACGAGCAACTCTATGCCGAGCCAAACTGAACTCTGACTGGGACAATCCTCTCCGGCTTCCCGAGCGATAACGCTGATATTGTGGACGCAGATGCTCGACGAATCAATGGCTGTCGGCAAGCAAGCAGGCCAGTAGGGTACAGCGAGATGGACACGAGCCACCTCTCCAATAGCGACAGCGAATCTGTTGCGCTTCCCTGGCTATCATGACAGACTATCCACGATTGTCTCTGCCGTCCCAAATGGCGAGTAATCTCTAGAGGGCATGTGGGAACATAGTGCCAGACCGTTGAGACAAATGCGCCAACCGGTCCTGGACCGCATAGCAATAGGCTACAAAAGGGGGTCCTCGCCCCCAAGACCCGAGCCAAAAAACGGATTTCTCAGACAAATATGCAAATGTAGGTTGTCGATCGTACGAGGTTCCTTCAGCATTAAAGCCTCAACACTGGATTCGCTGTGGGCGAGGAAAAGTGGTGCGCAGCGAAGGGTGTGTGCAGGCTCGGATGCTGCTGCTTTGGCGATAATGGCCAGTATTCCGACATGTCATCTGCCCTCCGCGAATGGCCAGGAAGGATCGGCACAGACTGCTGGTGCGCTAGCGATTCCGTTGGGACGCAAAGCACGCACTTCGTAAAAAGACCCCAGTCGCACTCTGGTATTGCGCTGTTTACGCATCTGCTAGTCGCATCTAGCTGCATGTTGATGACACGGAGATGCATAGGCGGTCTGGATTGTTTGCTAGTTTTTCAGGGAGCCTGCAGCATGTGCGGCACATTAGCAAGCCAAGGCAGCAGTGGCGGTTGTGGCAGCTGCGGCAGCTGCGGCAGTGTGGAGCCGGGCGATTGTAGACTGTGGCAAGCACCTGGCCTGGCCTAGCTTGTCATAGCTCCTGTGTTGCACGGCCCGTGACTAGCTATAATTGGAGCATCACGTTGTCTGCGACCAGTCTGGACCGGTCCGGAGCCTTGCTGCAGCGCACCAACCAAGCGGCACCTACTCACTCGAGCCGGCGAATGGGGGCCATTTCCCCTCTGCGCAGGCAATTGGGCGACTGCTGGCAGGTAAGGAAATCTGTTCGGTCTGCCATTTCGGACCGCTAGGCGGAGTTGGCGCTGTATGGGGGAGAGGGGCAAGCCAGCGAGCACCCAACGGTCCTCTCTGGCTGCAAGCCTGGGTCAAGCAAGAAAACAACAACATCCGACTGCAACGAAGGAGAAACGCGAGATCTACATTGGGCTTGTTTTGGTTTTTCGCATTCCAGATGTTGCGGCTCTCGCACCTTCTGCATTCTGCAATAGCAGGTAAAGAGAGGGAGCCAGGGGAGGATGAGAAATTGCGCGGAGCGGCGATCGCCCTTTGAGAGGCGAAATTCAATGTACGAATTGTTCATCCTTTCTCCAAAGTGACACCACCACCGCTACCAGAGCTAGTGGCCAGACCGGGTGCTTCCCCCTCCCCAACCGGTCCGAGTTTGACATTGCCCTCCTTCGCTGGGCAGCGCGGATTGTATATAAATGCTGCCCGCTGCCTGGGATGTCGAGGAACCGGCATAATACCTTATTACTTCCCTTCGTCTCACGCACTCCCTCCCCCTCCCCCTATCTACGCTCTAGATTACAATCTCATAATGCAGATCTTCGCCGCCATCGCTGTCTTCGCCGTCGCTGCTCTTGCCGCCGACTCCTCCGCCTCCACTAAGGCTTCCGCTGAGGCTTCTGTTGAGGCCTCTGTTGAGGCTTCGGAGGCTGCCTCGGAGGCTGCCTCGGAGGTTGCCTCGGCCGGCGCTACCTCGGTTGAGCTTGGTGAGCTCGATGATGCTGAGTCGGCCTCCGGCTCCCACTCGGGCTCTCACTCCGCCTCCAAGGGCGCTTCCAAGTCCGCCTCGAACCAGAAGTCCACCACGGGCTCCTCGAACGGTGCCGCCACGGTTGCCGGCTCTCTGGCCGCTGTTGCCGTTGCCGCCGCTGCTTTCTTCTAAGCTTTACCTGTGCGCATTTTAGATTTATTCTACTAGATGTCCTGGTATCTCTTTCGCCTCCCCGTTCTATAATTACCAATTGTAATCTCTCAAAACAATAGCCTTGGGGCGTGTGGATAAAGCAAGTCGTTTTGTAATCGCAGACTTGGTAACCCGGCACGCACATGAAACAATATACCGCCGCTTGAAATGGCGGCGACGCGTTGGAACTGGGTCCTTGTTTGTGGGGAGCCAATTCACGAGGATGTAGTGTGCGACCTGGCTCCATTTTTTCGCTCCGCTTCATCTTATCTCTGGAGACGGTACCGTGCTCGCCGTATTGGGGAGCGGTCTTCTAGACAGTCTATTTCGGTCTACAGATTTGGTTGGGTAGGCTGTCCGACTGAGAGATCTAGCTTCTCACAAGCGGATACTCCTGTCGTATTCCCAGAGCTCAGTGCAGTCGAGCCATAGTGGGACAAATAGTCAGCCATGTTTTTTTGGCTCTTCCAACCACACTTCTCAGTCTGCGTGCGTGCCACACACCTGCAGACTGCCAGGATATTTCAAAAAACTGCAAGGAGTGTGAGGAGTCATGCATTAGTGCCGGTGCCTATTTATAGCTACATGGCCAGTAGCGGAGGATGCAGGATGCATGAGTGGAGAGGACTAAAAGTGTGTTTATTAGTGTTTGAAGAATGAAGAAATGGATAGTAGCCCTCTCCGGCCTCCGCCATCGCTTCCCCCTGCACTACATCAGTGGAGCAGATGCACACGGGGAAAGGCGGGGGCATTGGAGAGACATGGAAGGAGATCAAGTGCGGAGAGAATAGGCGGGAAAAGAAGAGGAAAGGGGGCATCTACGCCTGGGCCATGGTGGGCTGGTGAGGGAGCGGGACGCTGGGAGCGGGCATGCCCGACTGGCCAGCGGCGGCAGCAGCGGCCTGCTGGGCGCGCATCTCCTTGATCTGCCTGAGCTGGGAGGTTCTGAACTGCTCGTAGTGGCGCTGTGCAGTGACCTCGACCAGGTCCGACAGGTGGGTGCGCAGCAAAAAGTTGCGCAGGTGGACAAAGTCGCTGTGGCCCTCGTCGAAGATGTTGATGACGCCCCAGCCGTGGCGGCGCCCGCGGATGGACTTGCCATCGATCTCAATGATCTCCTCGGATCCGACAACAGCGAACGGCACCAGCTCCTTGATGCTGGCGTTCAGCGCGCGGTCCTCATCGTCGTCCTCATCGCTGGCATACGGGTACACGGAGATACGGTGGAAGGCAAGCTCCTCCTTGATGCGGCGCTTGAAGACAGTGCGCTCGTCGACGGTCATCGAATCGGACTTGGCAATGACCGGGATCACGTTGG